AATTAAATAAGACTCTGAAAAATAAACTGTTTGTGGTACTGTATGTAATGCAGGAAAAAATGTATTTCACTGAAGTAAACTGTAATGTTCACTGGCTGACCAAAATGTTATATTCTGCTCCCAATGCAATAGTAAAACAAAGGATGAAAAAAAAACAACAGTTTGGCCATCACATTCAAAAGCTGCCAACGAAATCAGTAATGAGCAGTAATGAGCACAAGATGATATTCAAGGTTTGCCACCAGGAATTGACAAGCCCTGAAGACCCAGTGAAATGCCGTAGGATATGTCAGGTTTCAATGCTGGGGCAAGATAAGTATGTTCTTCAGAACTGGGCACCTGAGACCATCTGATTTTAAAACTCAGGAATGTCAATGATCCCTAAAGCAGATGTTGCTGCATAAAAACATAGGCAAGGCACTTGCAGAACAGAAAATTTTAAAAGCACTTTTTTTCTCAAGTGTAAAAACCACAGACTAGTTGTGAGTGAACTCCAAAGTCTAAAATCACAATACAAATGTCTAATTTATTCAATGAAATTTGTCTGGTTAGTTCCACCAGGGGACTTGACTATCCTGTGTGTTCAAGTACCTTTTCTGTTGGTAAGAGTGGGATAATTTGAGTTTACTAGCTTAATTGATCAAACAACCATATTCAAATAAATGTTATATTAAAAAATAAAATAAGTAGGTGTTATGCAACTTTATTAAATAATATCAATTAGAATTCATGAATATCATTCAGGTTTCATGCCCATTGCTTGCCAGGATAGGCTCCGGCTCCCCTCCCACCCTGAATAGGATAAAGCATTTAAAAAACGCATGGATGGAAATTTCATTTATAGTGAAATTCTCTGCAAAAAGTATTATTTTCTATTTAGGAATACATGGGTAATTTTAAGTGCTATGAATATTAAGATGCAGTTTATTAAAATAAACTTTCTAAAACATAAAGCAGGTAGTTTCATTTGGAAAAAAAAACTATTTGTAAAATTGTGTTATAGTGCTGCTCTGCACAAAATTAGAAAACCCGTAAAATGGCTTTATGTAAAAGACTTTATGTCAAATATATAAAAGGTACAAGTGCTAATGTTTCCAAATGGAAATGGAACATTTTGCAACCAGTCTTTCAAAGCTGGATTCACAAATGCTACTTCAGAAGGATTTAATGTGCATTTAAGGACAAAATCCTTGTTTTTTTAGTTTAAAACTTTCTAGCCAAGAGAAAAACCTGCTGTACTGAGTGCTACAGTATGTTTGTCCAGGATCAGTTTTGCTATTCTTCCATTGGCAATGTATGTCTTTGTGAGATGCTAGTAATAAACTAAAACGCATAATGCATGGTAAAAACCATAGGAATATAAAAAAATACATTAAACCATGTCAAGTGTATTCAACATAAAATAACAGAAATCATCAGAAAAGACAGAGCAGTTGAGAATACTGTTGCAGAAGAACAGCATGCCTAATGTTTTTTCTTCAGCTTGCAATCTGAGGTAACCTGACCCCCTTCTACAAAACAACTGATAAAAGAAGACAGCAGGAAGATTGAGGACACTTTTCAGCACAGTGTGTTGCCATCCTCACATATGCTACAAAGATGAAACATGGTCCCCATGTCTGAGGCAATAAGATTCTCTTCTGCTGCTCTCCTAGGATATTTAACATTAGACAGCATCATTTCTAAGAATATGCTAAAAACAGTTAATAACAGATCAGCAAGCTTGGCGGGGCAGATATTTTTTCGTCTGCTGCAGACTTCGACCAGCCTTGTGGGGTTTGAATACTATTGTCTGTCGAAACAAAATTTCAACGAACAGACCAACAGATCGAACCACGGGGAGAAAGATTTGCAACGTTACAGAAGACACATTCCCTCTGTGAAAGTCATGGGATCATTTAGAGCTACATCCAAAGTGACCTCAATGCCATCACTACCATGGTCACCAAGTCTCTTTCAGAGACCACAGCATAAACATTTACATAGCCAGAGGCCCTCCATATGGGAATGCATGGTGATTCACATTTTAGCCTCTTTCTGGACTCAGATATTCTGCCTTGAAACCGATTTACATTTCGTGTGGTACTCTTTTCTTCATGCAACAGTTCTCATCATTGCAAAGACAACAGCCCAGTTGCTTGTTGCTTCTGCAGACCCCAGATGACCTTGCTTTAAATGCCCCTTGGGTCTTGCTTCGCCTCACCACACTCCAGATCTGTGAGAACACCCTGTCTGTACCATACTGCCATACGTGTGCTCTACATCACAGAATCAGACTGCTTCTTACTCCTGCTGGCCAGGTTATCTCAAAATAATTTTGACCTCACAAAAACAAGCCACATGTCTTTAAAACTGAATTTCATCAATGCTAATAATACTTCAAAAAGATAATGATTTTCATACAATATCTGATACGACTAACAAGGTTGCACCACAACTCTGGACGTTTACTGTATGTTCCACAAGCTGACCATTGTATAAATGTGTATAAAAGCCTCTTGTTTTCACTCTATTACTCTAAATTGTAAAGCACAGTATTAGAATACAATTTTTAGGTTTCAGTTTTGAGTTCAAATCAGACACGTCTGCTTTTAGAAGGGAAGCCATGCATAGAGGGCTGAGCCCAGAATGCACAAAATTAATAGTAAAAAAGGAGTTTGATACGGAGCCATCTGGAACGACGTAACCATAAAAAAAATGTAAATCACAAGCTGGGATGATGCCCATGTCTAAATCCCATCACCTACTTCAGATCTAGTTCAATGCAGCAATCCCCCACCCCCAGGAAAATAAATGGGAGTGAAGCTGCTGGGATATTACAGCTTGAGAAAAAAAAATGCAGAACGTAAGGACACACACTTCAAAGGGTACTGAGCTACAGTGTCTAATCCATTTTCAGACTCTGGATGTCGGAAGGCTCTGCAGCTACTAAGTTACGCTGCCAGCACTCTGACAATTATCTCCCATGAGCTGCGTTATTTTTTTTTATTAACTCTCTTTTTAAAAGCTACCATTAGCTGCCTAAGAAGAGCCTTGAGAGCTCATGCATCGCAGTCATCCTTCCACGGACTCCAGGAGAGATTATCAGACGCTACAATGGAGGCTCTCCTCAGCTCCCCTCCTGGCTGACACAGATAACTCATCCTAAACCATGCACTCTGGCTGGTAATTAGCACAGCAAAGACTCCCAGATGAAACAGAGGAACAGCTCCGCAGCTCCACTCATGCAGGAGGCAAAACTTCTCCCTCAGAACCGAGACGTCGCAAGGCAGCGCTCACCGTGTAAAAGGTCAAAATCAGTGTTTCATTATCATGAAGAGCTTCCTCAGATCAAGATCAAGAGGGAAGCCTGTCTTGTGCCCCACACTTTCAGTGTAACGATGCACCTGCTATTCATTTACTTGAGCTGTTCCCATTTCTACTGTACATCCAATTCGAACACACCTGCTCTAAATGTAAGGCAAGCACCTATGGCAGAAACTGACAACATGAGAAGATAGGGTTTTGCGCATTCTATAAATTGCTGCATTTTCAAGAATGTCGTTTTAATGGAATTTGGCATTTCCTTACCTTTTAGGTTTTGTAAAAAGAAAAAAAAACTCAGGCCTGTAATTATTTCCAGCAATATATTATCAGTCTAGGAAATGTCACTTCAAACAGGGCTATAAATGTCACTAGTAGGAAGAGGTCAAGTGGGCATGTTGTATAACTGAACACACTAACCCCTTTAAAGAATGTAAACAAACTGAGCTGTCCAGAAAGTCTGTGATCCCTTGGAGAAAAAGGCCAGCAGACAAACTGTCTTAATCATACAATGATGCGGTATTCCTAAGTAAAACTGAACATGCTGGTCATACTGTACTGTATATGACCCAACTTGAAGGAGTGAGAAAAGACTACAAGTGAGATGTATTGGATTTGAGCAACAAAAATGGCATTTCATATTTCATATTAATTTTGCCAGCATAGATGCACTAAGCCAAGCCTATAGAAAGCCTACATTTGCAGGAAACCACAGCCACTAATTTCGTAGATACTATTGAACTGAAGAAAAAAAAGTGTCATGCTGACCGTGTGAAAACGTTGTTTGTAAACATAGAAAGAGCACTATAATGACACAAAAGACAAATTCAGAGAACCTTCTGTTTGAACAGTACTGTATCTACAGTGTGTAGGAACGATTTAGGTGTTCATGGTATTTAATGGCAACAGTGTTTCATCTCTATTGGAATTGTCCCACAATTCAATATACTGCAGTCAATCTAAAATGTCAACTCTGAGGATTTGTTTTCTTTCCATATGAACATCAAATTAATTCCCGACAGAAAATAATTTTGTTCATTTAAATTTGGGGTGAGGTGCCCCCCACACACTTTCTTGAAAGATCTCGCTAGCAATGGGTGTTTCAAAAAAGATCACTTAATGTGACACAATTCAGGGGAAAAAAACATTTTGTAAGACTTGTGTAGCCATTTGTTGTATGTTATGCAGGGCATTCACCTTTCCTCTCACGCGTGCTGCTGTGTAGATTTAGACACAATCTGGAATGCTGTAATCCGATAGGAGGATGCCAGTGGGGGATATTATGCTTTCTGTTGTAAAACAAAGGAATTAAGGACGGGTCATCTCTCCCTTACCCTTTTCATTAAAGCCTCTCTATGGTAATTACTTTAACTATTCTATTTTAAGACACTCAATCCTTTGACTGTGTAGTCAACAGAACAGACTGAGCGAAGATAGTAACAGTATGTACGATTTTAATGTTTTTATTATTTTCTGCTTTTACAGTACGTATTGTGTTTAAGTCTAAACTCTCAAACTATATCTTAAAGCACTCGCTCTCAAATCTCCGTTTAATTCCATAATGCATGTGACATTGCAAGGTCTTCCAATTCAACGCCTCCTCATGCAACAGGGCGGTAATACACACATACAGTACATTCTTTATAAACTTCGGAACTGGAAGGAAAATGCTGAAGTCAGTAAAAGCTGAACAGTACCATTGTTCCTTCGCTTTTGCTTCGTGCGACTTCGCGCTGCAACCGGGCCGCTGCCAGCTTCTCCCTGGGGAGAACGGAGAAAGAACAAGTGAATATGAGTAGCCGATCATTTTTCATCAAGACAGACCAGGGGCTCCTTTACCACAGGTGACACAGCTAAACAGCTTGCTGGGGGGGGCTCGTCTGCTTCAGGCCACTCCAGAAGCAGAACGCGTCTGTGCACACGGGCAAAATGCTTTGCAACAGAGCACGTTTTATTTGCAGAATCACATGTTTGGGAGAACTTGTGAGTTACGAATTAAGGGTGACAATGTTCAGACTAAGAATACAAAAATACTAAAAATATCTACAGTATCCTACCTTCTTAAAATAACACTTTTACGCCTCACCTTGTCACATTGGCTCTCGTACAGATTGAAAGTACTGTACGAAGAGGGCTTACAGTACCGTATGCTAGGCAACACGTGACGTTGCATGTAAAGAAAATTCTACGTACAGTAGTTAAATTAAAATAATCTTCATTTGATCCATGCACTGCTGCCTGCCTGTGCAGTCATTGTGTGAAGAATAGTGAAAGACGACGGTAAGGAGAAATGTGTAAAACTAGAATGGGACACTTATTGATAACTTGTGAAGGAATGATAAGAGCAGGAGGCTAGCATAAAAAACTCAAGGAATCTACATCCAAAAACCGAAGGTTTGTAGACGACTTCTAGCCTCACTTCAGTGAACATAAAATTGTGGTTTCTAGATTCTTCAGACAGTTTACTCAACAGAAACAAAAATGTTTGTACAGTAGTGCGGGATGAACCGACTCAGAAACATGCTGGTGAGCTGTGAGAGAGGAATGTCCAACATTCATCAAAAATAATAATTTCCCCTAGTGAAAAATCAACTGCTGTTGGTTCCCAATGGGCATTTCAGGGCAAGAAAATATCATCTACAAAATTGATGCACCTGAGATTAGAAGCTAAGATTTATGCTCCAGCTGCAGTGACTGTTTCATTTCACTTGAATAACCAGCTTCCAGTGTCCTGTCAAATTGCAGCCCGAGGATGTGTTATGAAAGCAAAATGCTTGGCAGTTGCTCTTAGTAGCAAAGCTATTGCTCATAACGTAACATGTACTGTATATTAGTAAGAACAAAGATGAGAAAGATTCAGTGCTCCTCCAATTGTAAATAGAAAATCACAAGAAGCGTACAATTAGTTTTAGAATTCCACAAAACAAAGGTATTCTTCTGTTTTCCTTGAATTAATGCTTAAAAAGTGTAAATCATAATCAATCTTAACCAGAATGAGATGTTTAGAACTTTTATTAGAATGCACACATCTTAATAAATTCGAATGAATGGAAAATGCTTTCTGTATTTTAAGGTGTTTTAGGCCTCCATGTACTGTATCATACAAAGTGTGTGCACCAGATTGTCACAAAGACATTAGTGTAATCACGTCCCATCTCACCATTTCAGCAGCAATATTTACTTACTTACAGCAGCTGTTGGGAAAACAATGGGTCCCTATGGTTTTGTGGAACTAAAAAAAGCATTTGTCATCTGCTATAACATCTTTATCTGCATTACTGGAACTCTTTTAAAGGAGTCCAGAGTTGAGACTGGATGTGAATGGTCCTGAGGCGGTGAACTCATATTCATACTGTTTGAAAGCATTAAAAATCAATTACCCACTAATAGCACCAATGCAAAACCAGTCCCCCCCCCCCCCCTCTTTAGCCATAAACCAGGCCAACAGTGGGGAGAGGGAAGAGAGAAAGGGAGAGACACAGTAGCAGTCCCAAGCAGATTGGATATTTTGACAAATTTGATGATTAACTGGATCCCAGGCTCAAAGCCTTTGCAAAGATTTACGAAGAAGAGGGTATTAGTGTTGGTCATGCTGGTGTTAAGGGGGCTGGGCTGGAAAATGTTTGTCAAACAAGTCTTCCAGGGGAGGTGTGGCTAGTGGCAGCAGGTCCGCATGTCATGCAGTAACCTGAAGAAGAAAGGTCATATCAGAGGTTATCGTTCACAAAGCTCTGAAGACTAGTGTCGTACACTTACTGTAAGTCTTTAACTGCTCTTCATAGTTAGAAAGATTATGGCTAGCATAATCTGAGAGGTCTTTACAGCATACTGTATACCGAGCATCTAAAGACATCAAGCTAAGAGCCCGTCAGCTCTGTTGCTTTGAACTTTTGGGTTCTGGGTTTCCTTTAATCCTGGGTTATCTACGGTGTGGAATTTTGCGTGTTCTCCCTGGATTCCCATGAGTTTCACTTCAGTGCTCTGATCTCCTCCACTTGCTGGTTAGGTGAATTCCTGTCTCTTAGTTGTCCCTGTGTGTGTCACAGATGTTGGAAGGGACAAACCGTGGAGACGCAGGAGAGCGTAAAAAGACCCATGTGCGTAGCCGCGGAACGGGGAAAAAGCCCGGGCTCAGCAGTTCAGGAGTCGAATAGAAACCAATGCCCTCAGGCAGCAGACGTGGGGCGACCTGGATGGTGGGCGGGTTTCAGGACATCCGAACGTCAATGCTGAGCGAAGCAGAATAAGTGACTCAGAAATACAGTATATAGCCCCAGAGAGAGAGAGAGACACCTGAAGGAGAGCAAAGGACAGGAAACTAGGGACAGGACAGAAAAGGAGCGCCCTCTGGCTGCAGAGGGCGTGACGTGTGTTTGTACAGTATGTATACCCTGTGACGGACTGGTGTCTCATCATGTGCGTAGTCCCACTTTGCACCCTATGATCCCTGGATTTCCTGTTGCCCTGACCATTACCAGGAACCAGATTTCTGTGACTGGATGGATGAATGAATTTTAATTAAAGATGGAAAAACTTTAATTGATTATGAAATGCCTGAATCAATGTAGTAATAGGTAAAAGTTCACAAGGAGAAATTAAAGCTTACTTCCTAAAACAGAGCAAGTATGTACATCTCCATTCAGGAATTGCCTTGATTTTTAGTAATTTAACCATTATTTAAAGTGCAACAAGCAGCATTTTACCATTGCAAGATATTTAGCTGGATTACTACATTCTTCAAGGCAAATGTTTTTGATTCTTTGAAGTATGCATTTCATTTTAATTGGAATTATTACTTAAATTCACTGTTTCTGAATTCACCATCCGAAGGTGAAATCATAGCTAATGATCATCTCATTTTCATTAAGTATAACTCATGCCTGAGCTTCAACGAATAAGCCTCTTAAACTCCACAAATGTAAATGACAATGGAATACTGTCATTAACATGGTGTGAGGTCAGGTTTTGATTAACAGCAGCCTCAGTGTCAGATCACATTTGACAACAAACATAACCTGAACTTTTTAAGAAAGAGTCCCCCCCCCCCTCAGAAATGTTGAAGCATACGAAAAATACATTTTTTTATGCAGCTTGACGATCTCGTGATTCACACTGACATTATGAAAAAATAATATAAACATGTATTAGGCATTTGTCATGACATTGTTTCATCATTTTGTAAACATTCTGGGAACATCCACCAAGAGATTAAGTCATTAATTGTATTTTAGCCTATGCTGCCTGCCTAGCAGTTGCTCATAGTCTTCCTTCATTTTTCAATTAAAAATGGTTTATTTCATGTGCCTGAAAAAGCCTCCTGCTAAGCCTTTTCATTGAGCCATCAAATTGTTTCTGTTTTGCTGTTAGTAGATTAAATTTACCTAACTTAGAAATATCAACAAACGGTCCTCAGGGAACTGATGATGTCTGCTGTAGTGATGATGTCATCCAAAGGAGATGGATTTCATTCTGGGATGACTACTTGCCCATTCATCAAATGTTTAGCATTGCAACCGTTATCCTTTTCAAATACATTCATTAGCTTTTGAAACAAACCTATTATTCATTAGTGGAACTTGTGTGACTAGACCCTAACATGTACAGCATACGGTAAGCAGAAAATATGAAACCAGTTGACACTATACTGTAGATAAAGCAACATAATACTGAAATAAAATGCAGCTTTTCCTAGAATTTCCTAATTCTTTATCAAGAAAATGATAATCCTTCTCCACAAGAATAAAACATTGTTTTTCCATTAGGGAATACAAAGTATTTTAGAAATGCAAGGGCAGCAGCAACATTTTCTTACAGATCCTTATACAGTTGTTATACACACACATTGTATTTTCTATATAGGCAAATCCGGAAGACATGTTTGAAAAACATACAGCAAGTGCTTTAAATGGAATAAATCACTGAAAGTAATATTTATACTGTACGAGAAAGCCAGAGGCTCACATCTGGCTGTCTTAAACAACAACTGCCCTTGGGCAATAGTGTTTGTGTGTGCCTCCCACTTTGTTACTGCTTTGCACTCCAATTCTTCAATCAGCCACAATTAGAAAGCTTCAGAGAACAAATATATTAAGCAAATCAAAACCGACCTGGATTGACACACCATCAGTCTCCAGCTGTTGGCACAGAGCTGAATTAAATTGCTCTGCTCTTTACTGGCCAATACTGGGAATGTGCACAGCTACTGTATGCCAAGGAACAGGGTAGTGCAAACACTCTGCTTTATCAGAGCACACCCAGTCACCTTTCAGCCCTGTTTGAGTATTCATAGCTACTCTACCCCCAGAAGCAGGAACCGGCTGACTGGACAAGTCAACATTTACAGTACTTGAAGGTCAGAACCCTTTGAATGACTGACAATGTCAAGGAGAGCTACTTCATACAAATGATGAACTTTTTTCCTTGTAGCTACACCTTTGGTGAAGCAGTAACCTCCAGGTCTTCCTACCAGTGAGAAACACTTTGCAATCCTTGCAGGAGCCAGCTTTGGAAACACCTATTAAACATGCCTTCTGAAAATTACAAAGAGCAATGAAATTCCCGCTAAACGTTTTTTTTTTTTCTTTCAAAATAAATGAGCTTCTAGCTAGTTACCCTCTAGCTTGCTGTCAAAACTGTTGGGAAGAAGCTTTTATTTTTATTTCTGTAAAATCCTGGCTCCCACATGCGGCAGATGAAGCATGCAGAGACAAGATCAATGGGGAAAGGGATCACTAATTCAGTTCTGAGATATATGATTTACC